GCGCGGGCGGTCTTTGGCACTCCGCAGCCAGTTGAGCTGCCAATGGAACGTGCTGGGCCCTCTACAAGGAGCGTACCAGCCATATCCTTTGGTGCTCCTCCCAGCAACCAGATGTCGATTGCTGCATCGGAGGGTGAGCCAGAGCTTTCTGGAGAGGAAGATTCGGCTGCACTGTTCTCCTCCGGGACTGTAGCAATGCCTGAATTGGATCCAGAAATAATGGCTATGCTTTCCCGGGCCGCCGTAGGGGTAGGGCTCGAGTGAAGACTTTCACCGTGTCCCGAGCCCTCAAGGTTGCACGATTGGTTCTCGGGGCCCCGCCTCGGCGCCATTCTTCCCGGAGGTGCATGAGGAGCTCAACAGGTCGTGGACGGCACCTTTTTTACTGCCGGAAACCGATCTGCTGGTTCCTCCCTCACCACCCTCGATGGTGGGGCAGCTAGGGGGTTACAAGGGTCCCCCCGGTGTGCCAAGGGCGGCCCCTCCAGAGGGGACGGGGGGTTGTGGGCAATCCAGTGCGTATCACACTCACCCTCCTCTCTCACCAGTGAGCAGCAGTGGGACCAACGAACTACCCACGCACCCTCTGCTCGAACGCAGGTCAGTGTTACACACACCCAGACCCCGCCTCACGTGAAGGCGACCGATGGTCCTGTTTTGCGGGCGGAGGTTGCAGTCCTACTGGCGAAAGGATGCGATAGAGCCGGTCCCTCCAGCCGATATGAAGACGGGGTTTTACAGCTCCTACTTCATTGTAGCCAAGAAAGGCGGTGGGTTACGACCAATCTTGGACCTGCATGTCTTGAACCGGGCCCTTCACCGGTTACCGTTCAAGATGTTGACGCAGTAATGCATCTTCGGGTGCATCCGTCCCCGAGATTGGTTTGCAGCGGTCGACCTGAAGGACGTGTACTTTATGTGTCGACCCTTCCGCATCACAGACCATTGCTGTGGTTCGCGTCCGAAGGACGAGCATATCAGTACGAGGTCCTGCCCTCCCGGCTGTCCCTGCTGTCCCATGTCTTCACCTAAGTTGAGGAGGTACCCCTTGTTCCCCTGACAGAACAGAGCATTCGCATTCTCAACTACCTCGACGAAGCAGTCTCAGGATCAGTTGTGCGAACAAAGGGATTTGGTGCTCTCCCACCTCAGCCTGTTGGGTCTTCGGGTCAACTGGGAAAAGAGCAAACTCTCCCCGACGCAGAAGATCTCTTTTCTCGGTATGGAGTTGGATTCAGTCAAACAGACAGCACGCCTCACAGAGGAACGTGCGCGGTCGGTGCTTAACTGCTTGAATTCATTCAAGAGCAGGACAGCGGTCCCACTGAAACAATTTCAGAGGCTCCTGGGGCATATGGCAGCTGCAGCGGCAGTTATGTGGCGTACCTCAAGAGTCGCTCAGGTAGACCTGTTTGCCTCTCCAGAAACCTCTCACTGCCAGTTGTTCTTCTCCCTGCCGAGGGAACACTCAGCGCGGACGCACTGGCACACAGCTGGCCGCGGGGCCTTCGCAAGTATGCGTTTCCCCCAGTGAGCCTTCATGCACAGTTGCTGTGCAAGGTCAGGGAGGACAAGGAGTTAGTTTAGTTCCCGGAACTAATGCTCCTCGCGACAGCCCCTCCTTGGCCGATTCCTCTGAGGAAGGATCTACTGACTCAGAGACAGGGCACCCTTTGGCACCCACGTCCAGACCTCTGGAAACTTCATGTCTGGTCCCTGGACGGGACGCAGAGGTTCTAAGTGACCTACCTCAAGAGG